ATCAATCTGTGGTGTCAAATTTTAAGTTTTCCAAAATTCATTTTTTCCAATTAATGCCACCTAAATCGGGGTCTTGGTACCAATGTGCGCCACTGACATTAAACTCAATTGTTGTGACTTGTTGTCATCGCATTCTTAAAGTAGAAGATTTAAGTGAATGCAAACAAGCGCCGATTAGTACGCTGTAAAAGAAGATATTCTCGTTTCCAATGTTGGAGGTCAACGCTCTAAACCACTGTGTTACGCGTTAAGACGCTGACAACGCTGTTGGAGTTTTGATAGTTTTCCTCTGAGACCCGCAATATTACTCATCGCATAGGAACAAAAAACTTTAGGTTCAAGGCCGTTTAAGGCCGTACTAACGTTTAAGTTCACGCCTCATTTAACGATTCTCCTTTATTACTCCTTTTTTTTCATTTTTATTTTTTTTACCATGCCGCTGATTCCTTCTTCATCAAGACTAATTCGTTAAAAATATACACGTTTATTGCTGTATTGATATGGCTATGTTTATTTTTGCCAGCTCCTAACGGCTTTGATAAGTTCCTAGAATGAAGGGTCAATTGGATTGCATTTTGCAAAGAGGAGCTTAGAACATTCCAATGTCGCTAGCATTGTGCAACTTTTTCTTACCTTGCAAATATAGAATGATCATCTCAACAAGCTTGATCTTTACTCCCATCCGTTACCGAGGAGGGATACCTGTCTACGCGTATACGCGGTGGGATCCGATCCCACCCCGTAATTATCGGTCGGACAATTTTTCGGGGTCGACACTTTGGAAATCCCTTCTACAAGACTCTATCGTGATAATATATTATCCCCCGGAATATGTTCCCACGTCGATCCACGGAGCGGGGACTGTCGCGTAGACTTCTCTGTTTACTTCTTTTTTTTTTTTTTTTTTTTTTTTTTTTTTTTTTTTTTTTTTTAAAGATAGTGGTTATTATGTGTCTGTGAGTGGATCACTCGAGTCGGACGTGGCCTTAGATTGGGCCGGAGTGACGTAGCGGATGCGGGTCGGACACTTGAGTAGCGGGCGGGTGGCGAGAGAGGTGTAAGTAGGTTTTCGGGGGGTTGGAAAAGAGAATTTTTTGTTTTCTTCCATAATTTTTTTTTTTTCCAGATTTTTTTCTTATTTTTTTTTTAAGATATTTTTTTATAAGCGAATTTTTCATTTTTTCTCAGTTTGCGGAGGGCTAAGTATGAGGTAGGTTCACCCCTAGGGGCAAATTTTCAAGAAATGGCGTAAGCTCCGTTACCGAGGAGGGATACCTGTCTACGCGTATACGCGGTGGGATCCACCCCGTACTTATCGGTCGGACAATTTTTCGGGGTCGACACTTTGGAAATCCTCGAGTTGGGTTAGGTTAGGTTAGGTTAGGTTAGGTTAGGTTAGGTTAGGTTAGGTTAGGTTAGGTTAGGTTAGGTTAGGGCAAGGGAGTTAGATCGATTTAAGGTCGGTTAGATCGACTCCCGCGCTTTGGGTGGAGGTTAGGTCAGGTTAGGCTCCAGTTAGGCCGATCGTTCCTCTTGAAAATCTCAGAAATTGAGCCCCGGCTTGAAATCGAGCGACCTACGGTTTTTCGCCCCCACTGAAAGGGCAATTTTTCTCTCTTTTTCCCGAAATTTTTGTGACAAAGTCGGGGATTCCTCCGAAAAACTGCCGATTCGACGGCCAAGGAGTGGCCGGACGGGGAAACCGATAGGGACCAAAAATGTCGGGCTGGAGAAGGCGCATACGATACCGGTGGTCCGGTGGCGACCGGAGCGGTCGGTCGGCCGGCAGAGTCGAAAAACACAGCCGGAAAGGGAAAATTCGATTTTTTTTTTTTTCTTTTTTTTTTCCCTTCTTATTTTTCTTCCGCCCACAAACATTAGTCTCATGATCATTTTCCGCTCTTCCTCATCCCGTGTGTCCGTCGTTGGATGAAAACGAAGAGACCGATGCGCTTCGGATTCCTCGAGGACGGCTCGACGAGCCCGATTCCCCATAAGAGCCCGTGTATTCGTGGCTCGTCGGGGAGTGGAGCTACGAGAAAATTGCTTGGGATAAAAAGTGTCTATTTTGGACCGGAGAGTTCGGATCCGGAGCCCGAAGTCCGTCCGACGAACGCTGCGAAAGTTGGATCGGGAAATTCGCGAATTTCGAGGAGGCTGTTTCCGGAAAAGTCGAACCCGCCGGGACGAGGGCGCGCTTCCGGCTCCGAGTAGCTCTCGTCGGGAGTCGCCGAAAAGGTGGTACGGAGTTTTCCCGTCCGACGCGTTTCTCGGCCTCTAACGGGGGTCGGTACTTTCGGGCGAATTTCGGAAAATCGCCGATTCACCCCAGAAAAAGTGCCCGGACGGGGAAATCGCAGAGGAACGAAAACGTCGGGCTCGGCGAGCCGCCCCGGGTGCCGTAGGTCCGGAGGCGATCGGAGCCGCCGGCCGGGCGCCGGAGCCGAAAAACCGATCTCGGAAAACCGGAAGCGGGACGGGTGTTTATTAGCTCCCGAGTCCACGCTCCGAGAGAGAGAACGCGAAAAAACCTCCGCGCAATCCCGTCGAATCCCGAAAATCGGTCGGATCCGAATTTTCTTTCGCGGAGGTCGTAGACAGACCCCGATTTTACCTGTTAAAAAAAAAAAAAAAAAAAAAAAAAAAAAAAAAAAGTACGAGTGGCGTCGGCCTCCCGGGTGTCGCGCCTTCATTTCCGGTCGATACCGCACGCTAGGATCCACTTCCGGTACGTCACCCCTTCATTTCCGGTCGATACTCGACGCCCAAACCGACTTGCGGGACGTCGACCCTTCATCTCCGGTCGACTTCGCACGCTAGAGTCGACTTCCGGTACGTTGCCCCTTCATTTCAGGCCGATACTCAACGCCTAAACCGACTTCCGGTAGACTACCCCTTCGTTTCCGGTCGATACCGCACAATAGAGTCGACTTCCGGTACGTCGCCCCGTCATTTCCGGTCGATACTCAACGCCTAAAGCAACTTCCGGTACGTCGCCCCTTCATTTCCGGTCGATACCGCACGCTAGAGTCGACTTCCGGTAGGTCGCCACTTCATTTCCGGTCGGTACCGCACGCTCGGACCCGCTTCCGGTACGTCGCCCCGTCATTTCCGGTCGATACTCAACGCCTAAACCGACTTCCGGTTCGTCGCGCCTTCATTTCCGGTCCATAACGCACGCCAGAATCCACTTCCGGTACTTCGCCCCTTCGTTTCCGGTCGATACCGCACCCTGAGGTCCACTTCCGGTACGTCGCCCCTTCATTTCCGGTCGATACCGCACGCTAGAGTCGACTTCCGGTAGGTCGCCACTTCATTTCCGGTCGGTACCGCACGCTAGAGTCGACTTCCGGTACGTCGCCCCTTCATTTCCGGTCGATACCGCACCCTACGGTACCTAACCAGCCGGTAACCTAGCCAGCCGGTTAAGTTCCGAACCTAACCAGCCGGTTAAGTTCCGAACTTAACTCCTGGTACAAGTTCCGAACCTAACCAGCCGGTTAAGTTCCGAACCTAACCAGCCGGTTAAGTTCCGAACCTAACCAGCCGGTTAAGTTCCGAACTTAACTCCTAGTACAAGTTCCGAACCTAACCGGCCGGTTAAGTTCCGAACGTAACCATCCGGTTAAGTTCCGAACCTAACTCCTTGAACAAGTTCCGAACGTAACCATCCGGTTAAGTTCTGAACCTAACCGGCCGGTTAAGTTCCGAACGTAACTCGAGGTTAGGTTCGGAACTTAACCGATCCCCGGTTAGGTTCGGCACGTAAAGCAGAGGTTAGGTTAGGTAGGTTAGGTTAGGTTAGGTTAGGTAGGTTAGGTTAGGTAGGTTAGGTAGGTTAGGTTAGGTTAGGTAGGTTAGGTAGGTTAGGTAAGGTATGGTTATGTGTGTAGATGTTAGTGCAGTCCAAGTACCGAACTCGTAGGGGGTACGGTTGTTGGACTTTTCGAGCAGTCCAAGTACCGAACTTTCTCCGGAACCACAAGCGTTCCAATGTTTTTTTTTTTTTTTTTTTTTTGATACTTCAAATAGCCCACGAGGGCTAATCCTTGCGCTTTAGTTCCATCCCCTACAACCAGTCCCAGGCGACCATTGTCTGAGACCATCAAACTCGGGTCGCCTGGCCTGGAATCGAACTCGGGACCTCCGGATCATAGAGCTAGCGCTACAACCACTACACCATAGGAGGTCGACACATGTTGCTGGGATTGTGCAACTTAAATTCATTGCAAAAAAGTGCTGAAATCATGGAAATTAAATTTACAAAAGTAATTTTTGTCTTAAATTCATAGTTTATTGGGAGTAAATAGAAAACTTATTTAAATGATCAGTAAATATTTGCAAGGTAAAAAAAGTTGCACAATCTTAGTGGTATTAGAATGCTCTTGGTTCCTTTTTGCAAAATGCAATCCATATTCAAAGTAAAAAATGTGAAACTGTATTCTTTCATGAAACTAGATATAGCTGACTGAAGTAAAAGAAAGCTTACCACCATTGCAATGTTTCAAAATCTCAGATTTGTAGTTTACTTGCCTTAGTATTGATTAACCATTTGATAGTGATTTGTTTCGTTGAGATTTGAATTTTATTTGCAAATTCTTTTCATTCTATAAGTCTTCATGAATCTTCGGGAAAAAGTACTCTATATTTAAGGAATGTTAAAAAATGATATTTTAAGATGCTAAAAAATAACGAGTCTTGTAATTTAGACATGGTTTCAAAAGTTCTTTTATCATTCACACTGAATCTATTTTTAAGTAAGTAATTGATTAATTTATTTGTTTAAATTGTCAGGGAACTTCTACTAAAAGAAAAAAATAGATAAATAAAAAAATAAAAGAATACATCTGCAAGAAATAGAATCCAATATCTGTGATAAGAATTCGGCACGAAAAACGTAAAAATTTGTGGGCTTTAATTCATTTTTTTAAACAACGAAGGGGAAATTTTGAGTGATAGAGAGCATTATGGTTTGGAAAAATCAGAAAGAAACAGGCAAGTTTACTGAACTATTTTTTATTAAACAATAAACATTTAAAAAAATGATATGACATTTATTTAATAAAATTAAATTTGTTATATGACTGTACACATACTTACATTACGACACTTTGGAAATTTTCAAAAAGACATAATCAGGGAAATGACAAATGATCAGAAACAGCAAACAGCGGAAGAAAAATTTAAAATTCGTTGTTTTCAAACAAGGAAAAGTGCAGTGAAATCTCCCACTGATGGAGAGAAGAGAGACTCATCATAAATGCTTTGATTACTGAAAAGATTTTAAAAAGTAATAAAAAATCTATAAAAAATACAAATAACAATTCTTTGTATTACCTTAGGTACAGAATTCTTAGAAAATTTCCCGACAGGAAAATTGATCGATACAAAACCAGTTGGAAGATCTAAAAGAAGCTAAAGTAGATATGCTAACCATTTGCAATCACAAAAATTTTTCGATGATGAAATTAACAGAAGATTTGGTAAATAATTCGATATGGTCAACAAATTACAAGGAGAAATAACTACAGAATTTTTAGTGGGTTATTTTAACTCTCACTGGAAGACAAATTAAGACTTTAGACAACACATAAACTCATTTTAAGGTGAATGAACAGCATCAAGATTCAAACATATATAATTTGGAGAGGGAAAATTGGGTATAACAATTTTGAATTGCTTACTTGGAGACATCAATTTTTGGTGGAAATAATCAAAAGTATTGTATTGTGTCGCTTTCATAGGTTAATTTTTAACCGGATTTGATTTTATCAGTAAAAAATTGAAAGTTAAGAATTCTTATGGTTAGTCCTTTGAGAGCGTCTAAACTCTACAATGCGGACGCGATACAAGAATCTTTTCGAAACTCAAAAATTTAGGAGATCGATTTTATGCTGCCAATAATTAAAGGATATTGATTTTTTGAAAAGTATCAAAGTAATCTGTTGAAATACATAAAATTGATTCGTTTAAAATAACAAAATTGATTTGTTAAAATGAATAAAATTGACATTTTGTAAAAAGTAAAGTTGATTTTTGTAGAACATTTCTGTTCAACTTTCTGTAAAAAATCAAACAGGTTTTGTGAAAAGTGTCAACTTTCTTTTCTAGAAGGAATCACTTTTATTTTTTCTTAAAATCGCCATCTCCAATTTTGCTTTGTCAGGTACACTTAAAGGAGTGTTCATGCTGAAAGTCTGACAGAACTTGCTACAAAATTATAGCTCTATTCTGATGTTTTTTAAATGCTTCATTTCATGCGGCCTTTACTTATCATGCAAAAATATTTTACATGAATAGGCAAATATTTGCAAAAGAAAACAACTCATTTTAAGTTGATTCATCTCATGGAATTGGTGTTCAATTAACTGCCTTGAACAGATCAAAAATCTAGATGAACTTTGAGTTTCTTGCCAAAAAATATAGTATTCCCTGTGCATGAGCTCAATGAATCATTTGCACCCAAACGAATAAAAAAAAAAATTGGAGAGACAAGAAACGGATTTCTATACATAGAAGTATCCCATTTGACAGTTTTCAATGGGTCTATAGATAAGGTATGAATTAAAGCACTATGCATCACATTTTCTCTTCAAAATTTCACAAAAACAAAATAAATCACACAACGAGAGGTTTGGAAATCAACCCCTGAACAAGAAATGAGTGTTTACGATGAAAATTGGTGAAATGGCATAAATACAAATGATATCATTCATGTAATCTAACTTCCATTTAATCCATGTTAAAAATACTTGTTAATATCTCGTACAGGAGTTGATTCTCGAACTTCTCTTTGTGAGGATTGTCTGCCCAAGATTTTGAAGAGAAAACATGTAACATTTCTACCTAAATTACACCTTATCTCGTGGACCATTCCTGCAGTTTCTACTTCCTATGCTTCACGACCGATGGGAAGAATTTGCAGTGGCTAGATTAATCGGCTTATTATAATAAGAACCTTATTTAAATATATACAAATATATCTTACACAAAAATATATCAACAACATGAGTAGGTTTCACAGGAAGATTAATTATAAAACCGTACCGAAAAAAAACACAGAAATCACATTCGTTTGTTGTGAAAACTGTGCAACTTCACAGTTATTTTTGACATACAACCAAAAACAAGTTTTTTTATGAAACCTGGTTTCCAATGGGTACAACAGCTTATATTTCCTGTTCAACGGTGACGTTGGACCTTTTAAGTTTTTCTGCTATTGTTCAAAGTTCGATGCAGCTCATGACAAATGTGTTATGGCCCTAATTGGAATTTACGCAATGCTTGCGCAAAAGTTGAAAACTTTTTAGTTTCGGCATCAAGCTGCAAAACTTCGCAAAACCGACCAGAAATTGTCAAGCTGTCGTGTTCATTAGAGACATGCCTTTAGTATTTTGACAAAACAGTTGCTGAATTTCATAAATCACAATTTTTGGACGACAAAACAGTAAGAAAAAAACACATTTTTGGTGATAAAAATGACGAAATTGCACCGATAATCAAGATGAGTCTTAGAAAAAAGCACAAAAGAATACACCGTTTCCAGTGGCGTGGCGTGAATAATCGATTATCGATATCTCGCCATTTGAAGCTATGGTAAAGAATCGATTACTAAGGTGTTCGCTGCGAACACCCTGATAATCGATCTTTTATCATAGGTTTAAATGGCATAACAATCGATATATCGCAATTCCTGCCACGCCACTGACCGTTTCTGCTTGGCCAAGTGAATCTTGGAGGGTCTGCTAAAAGGCACCAAGCTAGCAATGCTCAGTGACAAAAACAAAACAATGTTCCAAAAAATTAGCGACCATATTACTTACAATAGTCTAAAACTCTGCTTTGAACAAATTGCATTTAGAATTTAAAACTTGGGGTCATTTCTTCATGGTGAAGTAACATCACGCAATATTTTTCTTCCTTCCTTCTAAATGAAAGACATTATCAGTCATCTTAAAATTGTCTGAGAGGCAAGTTGCAGGGACAATCACTTCCCTCTTGAGCTTGAGAAAAAGGAGAGGACATAAAAAAACATAGGCAATATACAATTAAAATGAGACAGATGAATTAAAATAATTTCTAAAAAAACTTATGTAATAAATATCACATTTGAGGTTCCGAACAATTTACAAGGTATGTAATCTTATAACGAGACGTAAAAACAGCGATTAAGATAAAAATAATTTCACAACTACACTTAAAATTAAAAAATAACATTTGGTTGAAACAATATATACAGCATCTTTGGGAATGAGAACCAATTATTGCTCCAGGGAGGATCCTGAATTTCAGAAGAATTAATTAAAAAAGGTATCAATTTCCCTCGATCATGATTAACAACTGCTGGCGCTATTAAAAATAAAAGTAGCGGAGATCAAACCAAGGGAAAAACCTACCTCAGCATCTAGACTTTTCAATAAGGAACGCCACAACTCCATTATTTTCAAAAAATGGGTTACTAGTCAAGGTCTGAACTAGGAAAAGTCACAAGTTTTTCTTCAAAATTTTGCGTAGAAAATGATTAAACAATGGGAGATGAAATCAACTCCTGAGCGAACTATTTACAAGTGTTTTTGACACAGATTTAATAAATTAGATTATACAAATGACGTTATCTGTATTTTTGCCATTTAATCAATCTTGATTGTAAAAACATTTTGTTTAGGAGTTACTTTCCAAACATCCTGTTGCATGTCTCGTTTCCCCATGAAATTTTGAAGAGAAAACACACTGGGTGATTCTTTAATTAGTATCTTGTTCAGAGGCCCATTAAACAATAAACCTGTTCTGAAAAGCTAATGCAGCTAAAATATAGATGTATGTTATTTCCAAAATGACGTCCCATCACTCTAAGCATTCATCTTTTCCTAAATTCAGTGTAAATTCACGGAGATCCTTTTCTCTGAAGGCATTTACTGCACTAACCATCATTACTGTTTGGAGGCATCCCAATGGAGGCAGAATATTTCTGACTAAAAATCCTTCATAAAGGCCTAAAATATTTATGAGGGTTTTTGGTCCTTTCTATGACTCTTCATCATAGTTCATGCTGAATTGGTCAGCCAACTTTGAGATAACAACAGAGAACCAGCCATTTTCATTTCTGCGATGAAAAGGAGTGCAAAAATCAAAATGACAAATCTTACGTTTCTATTTGAGAGTCGATTGACGTATTATTTCCCTTGGACTTTACCATTATGCACATGCATTCGAAAGCGATACTTCCACCTCAAGTGATTTGTCTCAAGGTTGGGTCGGCATCAAACTTGAGCTTGATGAGGTCAAATATCTGAGCAAAATTTAAGCTTCAGACCAAAAAAAATACGGCAACCCCGGTGCAAACATTTTAAAAATTAAATGTGAGCGAAAAATTTCAGAATTTAAGGAGAGAGAACAAAATTTGACCGTGAAAGAATGGGGAATGCAATTTTTGAATGCTGATATCAGATACTTAGAGTAGAAAAATCTTGCTTAAATTCTTCAAAATTTCCAATTTGATTCAATGGCAAATTAATCTCATAGCACATTCACCTAGGTCAGGCATCTTCTCCCTCGGTCTGAAACTAAAAGTTTGGCCAGCTTTTTGACATGTTTGATGAGATCTGTGGAAAAGTAACTCCATCTCAGCAGGAATTTAAGTCGAAACACTTTAAAATATTATAAAAAGTTTGGTCTTAAGAGTTAATATTGATTTATGATTTTAAAAAAAGGATACATTTCCTCTTAAACAAAACGGACGAATATTTAACAGGTAGAAATCATGGATTTTTATGATATGATTTTTGCATATAAAAATAAAACAGTAAAACCAGAAGTATTTCATGCTTGAAAAAAAAATGCATGGTAGGGTTGAAAGTTTTAAAAAAATGTTGCTATGTATGATTATGTATTTCATCAAAGACAAAACATTTTTCATTCTATAACTTTTAATTCATGCGGGAAACCTAAAAATCTTGCCTGACGTTCTACCTTTATCTTTCCTTTTTTTCTTGACTGGTTGTGGGAGGACCAAATTTTGTGGCAGTTAGGCGTTGCAGAGCGCCAGAGAGCGCTATGAAAGCGACTCTCGTGTGTATATCTCTCTCGATTTGAGACAAAATAATCGATAAATAAACCTTTTTTAACCTATGTACAGTGAGGTATCTCTCGCCAACTCTTACATTATGTTGAGTATTTTTGATTCCCATTGAAATTACATTTAATGGGATGGTTATAAAAGTAGATACATAAAAATTTACTTTGCAGGACTATTCTGCAATCCAGCACCTTGTCAATATTTTGCAGATTACAAAATTACTTCATCTGATTGAATAAAATGGGCCTCCATTTAAATAGTCGAACATTTATTTGGGACATTCTACAATTTGAGTAGCAGGACAAAAATTCATTAAAAAGGTCCTTAAGAGAAGCAGTCAACAGCTAAGTCAAAGAAAATGTATCTAAAATTGCAATGTTGCAAATCTCTACTCATGCTCAATGGTTTGAGGAAGAAAACCGGCCAACAGCTTTCCTATACATTTTTTGTGAATTATTTTTACTCATTCAAAAATATTCGCAGAAAATTTTGAGGACACATTGAAGCTAATTTTCTTTCAAAAACATGAAATAAGGTAAGAAATTTAAAAATGTTGCAATTTGCAATAGAGATTCGCACTTTATTGAGAGCCCAAGATTCCATTCAATCAGAAAAAATGTTTTATACTGCACCCTAGTTTTCCAAATTAGAGGGAAACGTCAGAGCGCTGTGTATCACAGAATCCTAAAAATCAAATTTTGATACTACATGAATTACTTTGCCTAGCCTCCGAGGTGCAGTAAAAGACAGCATTTAGTAAGATACACAGCTAGCTTTTACGTTAGATTTATACGGAAAATCGGCGAGAGCTCAACCTGACTATTTTGATTAGATTCCTTTCACAGTAGGTCCAACTATGAAACACTTATTGGTATAAAATGCAGATACGTACAATATGCTATGACTAAAAATTACAAGTCTTTTCGGGTGCTCTGGTTATTTAAACTAGTCGAGCTGTTTTCACCGCCTGACGAGGGGTCACTGCTCTCGCTTCTGAGCGAATTCGCCATTTTCTGGTAGTGGGGTTTCAAGGAGCTGCCTGCCCTCGTGTAGTCCAAATGATCGTACTCTTCCTCCACTGGAAAATAAGAATGTTGTGCGTTAGAAAGGGACATAACAATGGAGAAAAGAGTGAAACTATAGGGACTAGAATTTTTACAGTATCTTATTTCTGATCTGACCTTCAGTTCAAGAGGTAAATTAACGGTTACCACAGACTTCAGAGAATAAAATTCCCAGACACATTTTTGTACGAATTTTCTAATATTTTAGGGTATGAAGGATGGTCAAAATTAATAATTTGAAATAGTCTTTGCGCACTGTGTGTTGTTCAAAACATCAAACCCATTCAAAATTGCAAAGAAAGGTGATTAACCAATTTTTCTGGCACTTACATCTTTTCCCTGACTTTTAAGAATTTGCTGACATTTCCTAGCTTTCCTGGTTGTCCCTGACTGTGGTATGATTGTTAATCCCTTGTAAAATCGTGAAGTTCACTTTCAGTTTCACTTAGATTCTTTGGAATTTTCATCAGAGTTGCGAGAAAATATATTGAAATCTCCATCTTAGTGATCATTCTGTAGCATTGAGTCAATGTGGATCGCCAAATGTTTTAAAAAAATAGTCTCAGAGGGGAGAAAGGAGAATTTCCTGATATTCAAGACCAATTCCATGACAAATTCTCTGACTTTCCTGAAGATTTATTCTCTGCTAATGAATCCCAGTATATTCCCTCTTTTCCAGGTCATCGACACAATGGTTGAAACGACGACTGGGGGGTGCAATGCACTGATGTTGAAATCAGGAAAAACCAAACAGGAAATTGTGTTAGGAGAAAATGAGCCAGCATTTTAACGACTTTTTAAAGAATAGCCTTGATGAGGCTGAGAAAAACCTCTCCATAACGAACAAAGACTTCGGTGAATATAGGAGGTAAGAAACATTTTTGTAATTTAAAAGAGATGAGGTTCTAATTGTACAAGTTTCAGCTAATAATTCCGGACTGAGAGCATTTTGAAGGTCACTTGTTTTGCAAGGTTTACTTAGAGAAAAGTTATTTGAAAACACCGATACCTTAATTTCTTTAAAAATGTCACTCACCATACTCATCGACTGGAAGCTTCCAAGAAAAAAAGAAAAAAGAAACTTAGATAAACAGACCAATTTTTCAATTCAGATAAAACTTTCTTGCTTCAACCATTGGAATGGTGTTTGGCAAAAAATTGTCTCTGAGAGAGAACAAATCATCAAACGTTAATCTAGTATAGAACTGAAATTCATATTGTAGAGCAAAAAAATTCACTTGAGTGCAAATCTTCCCTCGATTAGATATGCTGTTTATTGCAAAACCTAGTTACTACCAATCAGGGATGCAACTGTGAATGCATTTCAGGATTTGATGGGGTCGTTATCAGCACAGTTCAGTTCCTAATTGGCAACGGAACCAACTAGTCTGCAAATGTGTTCACAGTTACGTTTCTGACTGGTTATAACTAGGTTGTAACAATCAACATATCTTTTCGAGAGAAAATTTGTGCTCAAATATACTATTTTCCTCTATAATGAGGATTTCAGCTCTACATATGATGAAATTAAACGTATGTTGGCAAAATCACCAACTCATTGTGTAAACGACTTCTGTGTCAAACTGCAATCTGTTCGTAAAAAATTAATTGTCGGTAAATTATATGCAGCTTTTTACTTAAAGAAAAGAAGTTTCTCGTTGGTTTTTAGATGAGAAAACTTAAAAGAAAAATAAGATACAGTACTTACCAGGAGGTTTTAGGTTCTTTATTTCATCGTAGAGATGTTCCTTGAAATCTTCGATACTATGGTACAGATTTGGATTTGTCAAATCCGCATCTCTGTTCTTCAGATAAGTTTCAGACATTCCATACGCTCCTGCAAAACATTGAGAGGAATTAGAGCGACATAAAATCAAGTTAGATCTAATTCAATGATGCTCAAGTTCAATTATAAATTTCAACTGGAAAAAAGAAGAAGAAAAAATTATGTTACCTCGACTGCTTGCAGTGTCTGATTGATCATCGTCTGAGTACCCAAGTTTCTGCCTTTCAAGGTTTGTAGGTTTTTCCCGATCTCTTAGATTGTTTCTTATTGTCATATTGTTACTTAAGAGACTATCCGTATTACCGCTGCTGGCAGCACCATAACAGTAGACTGGGTTGTCGAAATGATGGCGATCTGTCAAGGAAGCACAGGATAACAATCACAAAAATGATCTTAAAAAATATCTTAGACAAAGACAAAACCTCTTTCATTCATGGTGACATTAATTACTCAATTACGTAAAATTATGGGGAAATTATTATTTCCACAGACTTAATAAAAAAGCTGCAAGACTCTTGAGAAAAAAAGTTCCTATTCACTATAGACAAACAATCTGGTAACGTCTGTTAGGCAGAAAAGCTAATTTCACAGTTAATTTTAAAGGTAATCACAAAGTTACTCCTCTTAAAAATTGCAACATTCCAATATTTATATTGAGATAATCATGAAAACTCAAAAGGTAGAGAAAACTAGAGTCTATACGACTTCGCCGCATAACTAAAAAGTAAGCGAGAGGAAAAAATTTCGTTTTTTTACATTAACTCCCCTAATTCTCCAGTAATTTTTTTCCCTAGATATACCTGTACAGCACTAAAATAACTAATATAATAATGAACTATATATAATAACAATATAACTATGATAGTAAACTTTATCTGTACAGAAGTTGTATTCTATGTACGTCTCTACGAAATGATGGTGTCGAGTAAAAAAACATTGGAAAAAATAAAGAAAATAGAAAAAAGTAAGGAATGAGTGTATCAATAAAGTGGAAAGATATTTCAATTTTTGTAAAATTATGAAGGTTCTACCAGAGTTTCATTTTCTAGGCAAGAGATAAAATAAACTGCTGAATAAAATTAAGAATTACCTGGTGAGCTAAGAGGGTCAGCAATATACTGGACTTGCGCTATTTCTGTTTTAAGGTTTTCGACTCTTTTCCTGTAATACATCCAAAGAGCGATGATCACTCCCACCAAACACACACCAACAAAAAGTCCTAGCATGACACCTATTGAGCTGCTACTATTCGTGCCATCTCTTCCGCCCAGACCCTGGACTAGCTCTGTTGTGCAGTCTTCGCCTAAAAAACGAAATGGATTATATTATATTTACTGATGAGAAAAATAATGAACATATTAAGCATCATAAATTATATCAGATGAAAGTACAGACAATTAAACTGTACTACATCTCTGAATAATTGCCGTTGCCTAAGCACCCCAGAAAAGGGGGCTGAATCTTAAAATTGATGGACAAAGCAATAGACCAAGAAGACTATGGGAAATTGAAGCAATCTCATGAGTTGAAATGGCTAGTTGTTAGAGACTGAAGGGGAAATCAATGGACTAACTATAGGGCCTCTCATGGGTTGCCGTTAGTTAGTATATCATTTATCTCCTTTGTCCTAAAAATCACTTGCTTCCACTGATGGGATCCCTCCATTTTCTCTTTAACTTCTGTGTCTATCATTTTGTTCATCAACTTCAAATCAGTCCAAAAGGGTGAACTTACTTGTAAGTCGACTGATCTAGATGACAACAGATCGGAGTCCAACAATCTTTTCAGGCTCAAGTAAAATCCACCAAAAACCGGTGTCAAAATGAAGATTTTTTTTAGTTTTCAGTTAGTACAACTGTCCTGGCAGGATATATCCCACCATTTCTTCCGCTGAATCAGAAAGGATTTAAGTATTTTTTTCCTTCACCTATCAGTCCCTCAGAGAATTGAATTTGTTACAGAAAAGCCCAGTATTGAGGAGACTTTGCAATTTTCTGGGAAATCCTGGTGTAATAAAAAAAATTTAATATCATTTGCAGACTTGACGCTAAACATTTTTAAAAAAATTATCCATGACCAGCAATTTAAAGTTTTCTCTTTTCCCGCAAACCCATGTTGGGGATAGTGTAATTTACTTACCCGTGAATCCATATCTGCACACACAGCCAGACACCGGATGGCAAATGAAATTTTCACGACATTGACAAGATTCCATGCAATGCAACCCATAGAATCCTTCCCCACAGCCTGGAGGGGGAAAAAAAATAAAAATAGATTAAATTTTTAATACATTCAGGAAGGATCGATGGACTGAAAAATAATTTGATTGTTACCTCTAAAAACTGAATAGGAAAATTTGAACAGGATTTGAAGTTGAAAAAGCTCTAAAGACTTAAGAGCTGAGACATTTGAGAATTACACACAATTAAAATTAACGAACTTTAGTTTCTGAAAATCCCATTCTGAGAATTAGTTCTGAGAATTGACTCCTCCATGCAAATGATCACCTTTCATCAAAGACGTCACATCACTTTATAGTCATTTCTTAATTTTCTAATAGGAGATCTAGTCGTGAATACATGATCAATTTACATTACTTCGCTCAGTCCATTATAGAAAGGAACAAACAAATGCTACTTCTACATACAACATCACTTTTTTCATTTTGATATCATAAAAAATAATGTCAGTATAAGCATTTCACTTGTCTACTAAAAAGGCTGGTCAAAAATAAGTAATTTTACAGTACTTTTTCAGTACATTCTCAAGAAATTCAGTACCTCCTCCGACAGAAAAATTCCGTACTTTTTCAGTACCTCCATTTGACGAAATTAGAAAAATTTCAACGATTTGAAATTGCGACAAAAATGACAAAAAATTTAAAAAACTTCCAGACCTTTTTGCAGAATTTCCGCACTTTTACAGTACTTTCAGACCGCCCTTAAAAAGTCAGTGCTATTTCCGGACTTTTCGAAAATTCCGGACTTGTAGACACTCTGCTCATCTCAATTTTCTAGAATGATAAATTTAACCATGACACTTCACAAAAAAGAAAATTTTCAGCGGAAGACTTACGCTCATTGCAGCGTTTTCCCATCCAACCAGGGTTGCATTTACACTCTCCATCGTACGGACGGCATTTTTCCTTGTTGCGGCACTGACATTGCTGCGTGCAGTTATGGCCCCACGTGTAATCAGGGCACGGTATTTCGCAAGAAGTTCCAGTCCAGCCTGGCGAACACTGGCAAACACCTGCAAAAAAAGGTGACAATAAACTTCCGACTCATTTGCTAGCTTTAGTCATGTCTTAACGATGCAATGTTTCAAGATGGGACATGCTAACTTTTTAGCTCGAAATTTTTACAGAATATTTTTCCAACAGAGAAAATAAATCAAGGAAGTTTTCGGTAGACTACATGGACTAGTTTTCGATAGAAAAATAAAGTATGACAGGAAGTCTACAACGCTGCAAACAGAGATAGGTGGTTTCAAACTTATAGAAATATAGTCATAAACAGTTGACAAAAAAGTAACTTTAAGACAAAATAATTAATTCCTAAACATTTTCTCTCAATTCCTGAACCTTTCTTGTTTTTGAAAGGTGCCAGATTCTTGTTAAAAAAAATCAAATTTGAAAATATGGTGTAAAAATCTTACCAGTTATATGATGACAGTCTGCTCCGTTCTTACAGTGGCAGCGTTCTAGGCAATCTTGGCCATAGTAATCGGCAGGACATGGGTTCTCGCAACTAACACCGGCAAAGCCAGGTCGACATTTCACTTGTCCCATTACGTGGTCGCAGGTTTCACTTTCTAGAATAAATAAAAATACATTTCAATAAGAGGAATAGATTGACTCATTGAGGTTAACTTTCCTTGGCTGGAGCAGATTTTGCTCTGCAACAAGAGGCACGAATCCGTTTAAATCAAAGGGCTACCCCTAATGGAGGTATCTAAGGACAGAGGAAATTTTTGGCTCGAGCAGGATTTTGTCTAAATCGTAGTTTGACTTGGCAAGATATTGCTGTACTTAAAAATTGAAAAAACATGCAAATGACCACTATAGATGGTTTGGGTTATTTTTACACCCACAAACATATTACTACTTCAGAGGTTTTCACACAAATTCAAATGACACTTTTTGTGTTGCTTCGCCCTACTTCCTCACAATGCCCTTGTTACACCAGTTTCCCACATCGTCACCATTACGCCAGAGTATCACAAGTGCCACTTACACTTTGGTGCTATGTTGCCAAACATGTCTTAATTTGACATCCAAATTTAAAAAATTGTGAATTTTTTTTCTCTGTCTTGCAAAATTGTCAGTTTGCAGATAGGTGGTTTTCCTTCGCGATTGAAATGACGCTTGTGATATTGTGACCTGAGGGTGATGTCATGATTGCTGTGTAATGCTTAAACACGCTTTGAGGAAACATGATTCCTGGCCTAAGTAGAAAGAGGAATAATTATAGGTACATACTAAGGCCTCTTGATAGGCAATCTTCTTCACAGTCGTAACCGTAAGTTCCGGGCAAGCAAGGTTGACTACAAGTGCCTCCGTTCCAACCACGGGCACATGTGCAGACTCCAGTGAATTGGTCACAAGAGCTGTCATGCATGCAATTGCATTGCTGCTTACAATTGTCTCCATACCAGCCGATAGGACATCTCGATTCACAGTGGATACCTGAACAGATATCAATTCACAGTTAGCTATCAAATAAAATAGGACTTCAGGTAAAAAATAACAAGTGCATAGATGCATAATGCCAACATGAGAAACAGAGGAAGGTCCAAAAAATTAAACATTGTAAAAATTACTTCTGTGCAAAATAGCTAAGAACTTTTAGTAGCCTAAAATTGCTCTCAAAAAATTTCCAAGAAAAAAATTTAATTATTTTTCTCAAATTGAAGTCAAATTAATTTAACCTTTACTTTGATCATCATGAATTTAATTTTGAAAAACTTTGCCGTGAGAGAATCAGATAGAAAGTGTGATGAAAAATTACTAACCATACCACCCATCTTTGCATATGCAGCTTCCCGTTTCAGGGTCACATCTGTCTGAAGACTCCGATATACATTTGCATTTTTTCAAGCACTTAAAACCGTAAGTGCCGGGCGGACAGATTTCGTCGCAGAGTTTACCAGTGAATCCAGAATTGCAAGTGCAAGCTCCTGAAAGCCATAAATAAAACATCAAGAAAGATTCTGGATAAGCACAAAATACAGAAATACTAGAAACATTCCTACAGAAAATTTTTTTGAGGGCTGGGAGTTTTGGTGAGATCATTTCGAAGCAGTTCTAAAATAAATCAAATCAACTGTGTCGCATCATTTTTCTCTTCTTTTTTTGGCTAGAAAAACAGATATATAAATATATGAAAATATATTATGTTAAACTTTAAAATTTCTCTACAAAAAGGTTTTTGTACACTTCAGAAAGAAGGCGTTTAAATCGTTCTTGTAAATGGGGGTGCAAATTTTGAATGAATCTTACCTGTCTCAGGATCGCATATGCCGTTCTGACAGGTGCAATTTTTGCTGCAATTATCACCATACAAGTTGCCGTCACAAGGTCTGTCGCACTTTGGACCTTTCCAACCTGAAAATGAAAGAAATCACATACAATTAGAAAAATAAAATCGACAGGTAGCTTCTTTGACTTTCCCTGGCCTTTGAACGAAACTTCCACTTGGATGTTTCTTCTTTTAATCATGCTGACTTCTACCAAACTTCAGACAAAATTTCCACTTTTGTAGATCCAAATTAAGGGAAAAGGAGGTTGTTCCCGCTTTTTCTAAAAGCACTGGCTAAATTTGCTTAACCAACACGCTATGCGCGAAATTCCCTGAATTTTTTGCCTATGAATTCCGTAATGGTCATAAACTATTTTAACTCATTGTAAATTCCCTGCCTTTCCAATGGGATGATTACTGAAATTCATAGACAAAGAGGACAAAGAGGAAATTAAGCAATCCTATTGGTGGAAGCATTGGGTACAATGGATAGAGGATGTAAGTAATAGGCTATCTAACGGGCGACTGATGAGAGACCCTATAGTTAGTCCATTTTTTCCCGCTTAGTCTATGACAACAACCTGTGTAAATCAATAGCATCCCTATACGTTCCCTTCATCTTCACTGACTACCGGTTTGTCTATCAGTTTCAATCATTAGCCTTCAAGTTTTCCAATCTGCCGGGGAGACCTTGATCAAAAAACCTTGAGTAATAGATTTCAAGATGCCAGAGACCTAAAATTATTCTACGTTTTTCATTCTCTTTTTTCCTTTTCTTAACATTCTTAGACATGATACAGATACAGAAAAGACCAAGCGCCAAGTGGCGAGGTAATACTATGCACCTAAATTTTCTTTGAGTATGCCCTACACTAAAATCATAAACGTTAAGAATAAAAAAGTTAAAACAGTTCATTACTGCTTCTCACCTGGTTTACAAATACATTGTCCAGTCTCAGGGGCACACTGTTTAGCGTTCTTACACTCACAAGCCTGCTTGCATTTGTCACCGTAATATCCATCGGGGCAAGTTTTCTCGCAGTTGGTGCCCAGATAACCTGAGAAAAATAAACATAGAGGATTGATGAAGCTACTTGAGAGCATTTCAACGGTGCAACTAGGAAAAGAAAAATGTTTTATGAAGAAACCAATGAGATGTAGAACAATGAATGAGCCTCAAATATTAAACTGAAAAATTTTGGACTTGAAACTGAATTGATAAATGTCTTTTTTTCATCCAGATTGTAGAAAACAGTGTCATTGGCTTGTACTTTATTTGAAATTAAAACTGAATTGTGGAACAGACCTAAGCAAACTACAGTGTTGACTAAGATGGTGCACCTTTTTAAATTTTGCAAGCTGATGGTCTAGAAATTCCAAAATTCCTATCCATGTCAATTCCAAAAACGCAACCACAGAATTTAAGTTGCATGTGAATAAAATTGGAGCACTATCCTGTATATTCCATTTTTTGGTCTACTTATAGTAACTTTATTGTTAAAGAAAATAGGATGAACTATCTCATCAACCATCTGTTATTAACATTAAGCTGAAGTAATCAGCAAGCCAAAGAATCAGCCCACATTTTTCAATGAATTGTTCTTTTAAGACTTTGATCGGTTTATTTAAGAATGATACTATACCTGGAGCGCAGACACAAGTTCCATTGTTGGGCAAACACTCAGCACTATTCTTGCAAGAGCATTGTTTTGCGCAGCCTTCGCCCCACTGGTAGAGGGGACAAGGACGGGAACATGTCGGTCCATCCCAACCAGCCTTGCAAATACACTGACCCGACCAAGGATCACACCTGAGGACAGAAAAACATACATAAAGATATCAAATTCAAAATCACTTTATACTTCTACTTACCATTGAAACTATCAAATTTTGTCCTAATCTCAACTGGCATTAGCTAAATTTTCTACTGATATCAGGTGAGATCAGTAGATAATTCGGAATTTCCTCTTTGGAGGAACATACTCCATTCTGAGGTCGCAAAATTAACCAAAATAACTCGATTTTTTACGCAAGTACAAATGTGCCTTTCCCATTTCAAATTTTGCTGATTCTTGCATATACAATCTGAAGAAAAATTGGTGAGTTTTTGAAAACGTCTGTTAGTTTTTAAGTGGAAATTTTACAGCGTTGAAATTTAGTTCCATCCTTTTGTCTAGGAAACGACAAATTAAACGGTATAACTGGCATGTCAATACTGTTTTATTGATTATTTTTACCAGCCATCCAAGGGGTGATACACTTCCTTTACATTACTTACTTATAATCATTACATTGAAGGCTAACACTTCAGAAAATGTTTGTACCCCCTCAGATTACAACAAGGTGAAACAGCAGGAAATATTAGCGTAGTGTAGCGTGTTTAACAATTCTCATGATTTGACTATCGGAAACAGAACTACAGCCTAAAATAAGACGAGAGATACAAATACTTTCTTTCTGCTTTAAATTTGCAGTAACTACAGCTCATGAAGAAACTTCAAACTTACAATTTAGTGCTCTCTGTTTGGCAATCGCAAATTTTGTCGCACTTCTCGCCGTAAAGTCCATCACGGCAGATTCGCTCAGTGCAGTTCTGACCTTTCCATCCTGGATTACAGACACAAGACCCGTTGCTTGCAAGACAGATTGCACCATCGTTGCACATGCACTTCAAATCGCAATTTAGTCCGTACATTCCTTTTGGGCATGGATCCGTGCACTGAAAAATTTTGAAAGAGGATGATTAACAGTACAGTAACGAAAATAATGATAAATTTCTATTGGATGAAATAGTTACTGTCGTTAAGTGATGTGTCCTTTTATTTTCATCACTGATAGCAGCTAATTTTGATGAATCTGATTTTGCACCTCAACGTAACAAGCAACGTTCCCGTTAAAAAATTTTCATCACAAGGATCTCTTTGTCCACGCAAGGTACAAGTGGAAAAACTAAAAGGAGGGAAAAATGTCATTCCAGCTTAAAAAGAAACTGATCAACATCTATACTTTCATTGACAAGCTGACAATGTAAACTTCGATCATTATGGTGAATGGTAGTCAAGAAACCTCTCTAATAATGGTAACTCGGTGAAGCAAAACACGCAAATACTGTATTTGAGGCGCTGAGTGAATGAGGGGCACTTTTTGGTTGCAGTATTTAAGATTCTCCGTTGCTAAATTATGTCTTGAAGAATAGTTCAAAGGGCAATTTACATACCTATAATTGTAGAATCATAAAAAATACATCGTGAAAATTTCAATGAAATGCATACATTCACTTTCCTCACAACAAATGAAATACAAGTGGGGATTCTGAGATACCGCATTCAAGAGGAACTATTCTTGCACCACTCAGTGCCTGATTCGTAACTGAGTTTTATGATTTTTCCTATATTTCTTTGTTTGTTACGCGATAAATAATGCTTGGTTTGTAGATTATCAATTCCTCCCAATTCTACTCATTTAAATTTAAACTTCTGTTCATTTTCATTACCAAAGCGTAAGAACCTACTTTTAGGCCGGTGAAGCCAGGCAGACATTCGCACTTTCCATCGACATGATTACAATTGGCTGAATTGAAACAATTGCAAGTTTGACTGCACTTGTCACCCCACTTCTCTGGGGGGCACTTGTTAGCACAAACAGAACCCTGAAACAATAGAATAGATATTTTTAATCGGCTCAATCATCAAATATTTATAAATCAGGTGATGAGTTCCTATTGTCCAAATATTCAATCAAAAAATTTAACAGTAAGGAAAAAGGAAATTAAATTTTTATTTTTATTTTTATTTCTAGGGCATGGCTGAAACTTTTTAGGTTATGAATAGCTCAGGTTCTTGATTAAAACCTGAGAAGTACTGTTGAACATAAAGAAGTCCTTTGGGTAAAGGAGTATTTTGGCCGGATGCTACCTCCTGTTGATTTGCATTTTTTAGGTGTGCTACTTTAGGTACAGCCAATGAGGTGCACCACGAGCACAATGCCTACCGCTGAAGATTGGTCAGTCCTTGATTCAGAGCAGACAATCAGTTAGGGACTCGTGGCGCCATAGGCGGATCCAGACACTTCAAACGAGAGGGGAGGGGTGGGGTGGGGGGTGTCAGGAGGGCTCCCCCAGAAAATGTCAAACAAGAGGGGGGGGGGGGGGTTTGGAGGGCTCCTCTGGAAACTGTTTGAAATTTTTAAGTATCAAATATACAGTTTGAGTAAATTTTGCCATGAATAAATTGCTAATGATAAGTGTCCTTCTCCCTTCTTTCCTCTGTTTCTTTCTTCCTTCTTAATTTCCTCCTCCTTTCCGAGCAAACGGGGGGGGGGGGGGGGGGGAGCATACGCCCTCGTGCTCTATGCTTTCCCCCCTGGGTCCGCTTGTGTATGGCGCCGTCTTCTGTGCTTAAAATGCCAAGTCTCTTCAACTTCCTTCAGACACATTGATAGCACTCATGACACATGCACACCCCAAGCACTGTACCTTCAAAGGGTAGAACTTTACTCATAGTAGAAGAGGAATATTTGTATCGTCTAAAAAAGGACGTATTTCTATCAAACGGAACTAAGAGCCATAGGGGGAGGAAGGGATTGGACGCAATGCTTGTTCTTTCTCATACTTGCAATGCTTTTGCATGGCGCTTGGTTCCGTTTGACAGAACGTGCTATCCGGGATTCTAAAATTCTCAAAAGGAACTCAATTTGGCCCTTAGTTCTGTTTAATAGAAATACGTCCAAATAATCCGTACTTACAGTGTAACCAGGAGTGCAGATACAGGATCCATCTGAAGGATCACACACCCCTCCGTTTTGACAGCTGCATTCCCTTTGACAAGAGTTCCCATGGGTTCCGGTTGGGCAGATTTCTTCGCACCTGTAAAAAAAAAGCATTGACATAAACCACTCAAGGAGTATTTTTCAACAATCTATATCAAGTAAACTTGTAGGGCACTCTGCTTAATAGGTAGCTCAACACCCATTAATGTTAAATTTTTACGCAAGAAAGTTTCTAACATTGCCAGAGTGTTGGCTGTGGATCTCTATTCTGCCATGCTAAGGAAAACCGCTGCAGAAATATTCGAATCTTACTGAATTCTCTCTGGTAATAAATTTATTTTGAAGTAAAGTTATGCATATTTTTCCCTGAAATTTTCAGATATTTTAGATTAAATTGCAAACAAAATTTTTGAAAAATTAGAAGAAAAATATTTTAAGCTTTCTCGATGAATTCATACTTATTTTATTGAAGGACATTGAGCAACACCTGAGGTATTATACAGCGTTCTTTCCTAGGCAATGCAGTAATGGTATTTGAGCCTCATTCTTGAAAGAATACATTTGATACGATAATTTAAATGAAAAAACTTACAAGGGTCCTGTGTATCCCGATGGACAGCTACACTCTCCGGTGATATGGTCGCAAACTCCATCATTCTTGCACTGACAGCGTTCCACACAGTCCTGTCCCCAGTGATTAGGAGCACATTTTTGGTCGCAATGGGGCCCCTTGAATCCTGGCGTGCAGTAGCATGCTCCATTTTCTGGATCGCAGGCACCATTGGTACAAAGGCAGTCCTCTTCACAAGTGGGTCCGAATTTTCCAGTTGGGCATGCTGCGATGGGTAAAAAGGGGTTTGATAAAAAAATTTTGGACATTTTTTAGCAATAAAATAAAATTTAAAAAAAGAAATATTAAAAAAAAAACAATTTTAAAATATATAAATTGGAAAACCGGGGGGGGGGGGGGGGATTCTCACATGCTAAAAAAATTAAAAACATTTTCATAAATTATGATTTTTGAGGATTTTAAGGAGGAATCATGTTACGCAGTACTTTAATTATACCGCGTTTAGTAGAAAGAAACCAAGCCACATCAGCTATTGCCACATTTAACTGGGCAATTCGATTTTTTACCATAGAACGTTTGTGCAAATTCCTTTGAAAATTTTAAAGAATTTGCTTCATGCTATGCAGAAAATTCACTGAAATTTGCACAAAAATCTGCACAAAAGATTTCATGTAAAAAATTAAATTGCCGGATTAAAGTTGGCAATAGCTGATGTGGCTTGGTTCCTTTCTGCTTGACGCAGTCCGACTTCATACCTTGTCCAGAGGCCACTTACACAGAAAAAAATTATATTACTGATTTAACAATTTTGTAGTTAAAGAAAAGTTTCTGACATGTTTCAATGTAGATTTTACAATGAAAAGATGCTGATTTAACTACCTTCGTGTTCAAATTAGTCATCCTTCATTGTAAAATGTACATTTAAAACATGTCAGACATATTTTTTAACGATTTAATTGTTAAATCCATTTTTTTCCGTGTAACAAACTGATTTACTCATGGGTGGTTTCGCGATAATTGGAATTGTTTTGTCGCCATTAACAGACAACACATTTTTGGTCATATTTTTAGTAGTAATGATAATCACTCGAATTATTTCACATTAATCTGCACACGGTTACGTACCTATTGTAACGCTTTTCAACGATTTATCGCTCTACTTTTTAATTTTAATATATAAATGACCAAAAATGTGCTTTCTGTTGCGCTGAATTTTTACCGCGGAGCAGACAGCACTTTTTCGTGATTTACAAAATATTAATTGAAAATTAGAGCGATAAATCATTAAAAAGCGTTATAATGTGTAACCCTTTGAAGATTAATGCGAAAAAATTTGAGAGATTATCATTTCTTCTAAAAATATGACCGTAAAATGTATCGTCTGTTACGGTGACAAAACTATTCCAGTTACCGTGAAACCACCGTCATGTTAAGTTTTTTTTTCATACTTTTTTTTAATACCTACCTCGTTCCAATTATCATTTCCGAAAAATGAACTTCTTGGGGGAAAAATAAGAAAAAAAAATGCTACTTACTCTTATTACAAGTGGCGCCGCCGAAGCCGACTTCACACTTGCAAGTATCGGGCGCGACGCAGACTCCGTGCACACAGACGTCCGAACAAACGGGTATGCAAATTTTTTGCGAGCTGTGCTCCACGTAACCCTTGCAGCACTCTTCCACAGGCCTGTATTTCACCAAAGTCTGCAAACAGAAAAACTTCAAGTTAGAATCGGGCTTCAAATCGCATAATTATTCGCATTCACATTCGGGTCATTCGAAGGCCGACAATGACGAGCTATTCTGCCGTGCTAAGGAAAAACGCCATATGAACATTCGAGAGTTGCCAAATTTCCTCTCAGAAAATTGTTGTTTATGAAGAAAGTTATGAATATTTCTTCTTGAAATTTTTAGGAACTTCAGGTGAAATTGAGAACAAAATTATCGAAAAAATTGGAGGAAAATCTTCATAAATTTTCTCGAAAGTTGGTGATTTATCAAAGGAAATTTGGCAACGCCTGAAGGTTCATACGGCGTTTTTCCTTAGCACGGCAGTATTCTGAAGAGAAACGCTGCAATGCTGTATCAAGGTGTCTACCAGTTATGAAAAACCAAAATTGGGGACTTTCGGGGACTTCAAGGGGAGTTATTCCAAGAAAATCGGGGACTTTTTCCCCCGAACTAGTGAGAGAAAGGGAAAGGGGGCTAGTTAGAACGTTAAAAGGCGCATTTCATACGACTAATTTTTCAAGTCATGTTGAACCGATGAAAACAAAAGAAAAACCAAGCAACACTTCAGTTTTTTTACTCTTGGTTGTACCGCGCCGCCGCAAGCTGGTGGGAAAATTTGAAAATGCACAAACATACATATGTGTACATACACAAGCTTGAGGGCTTTACGTAAGGTTCATTTTCTGTTTACCGTTTAAGATCTCGAAGGGTCATGACTTTTTCGCGCTTATGAGTCAGAATAATCCTCCAAGAGACGTTAATTAAGAGTTATCAAAGAGCGAGAGTGAGGTGTTAATGCGAAACATCTGAGCTCGCCGTGGTTATCAGCAAAGGTCAACTCATACGCATTAATAATTTCCCACGTGAGGTGCCGGGGAGGGTTTTCGTTCGGTGTCGGGTCTACCGTCTAATATTTCGCGATCCGATAGCAGCTTCTTAATTAACACTTACATCGAGTCAAAATGGCCGATAAGAGAGCTGCACCTTAATACGAGTCGTTTTCGAAACTGCTTCTTATTGCTGCTTGTAATTACGAGACCTGTGAAGGACTTCCTCTAGAGGAGCATGGATTGCAATACATTGCGATTCCTGTTTACAATAAATTGCAATTCCGAATTACAATAAATTGCAATTCCGGATTACAATTAATTGCAATTTCAATTTCATTTTAATCAAAATGCGGTTCAATTTGCGATTTCGGATAGCAATGTATTGCAATTTGGGATTGCGATACATTGCAAATACACACAGAAAAAAAAACTCCGGCTGTGTGAGCCGTGCTTACGGGCTAGATAGACATACCGTCCGCGTTCCGGGCTCAGAGGCCGAAAGTTCCGGGCGTAGCACCCGCGGCAATCGAAGCTAGGGCTCCAGCTCCCGGAACTTCGGTCTCTGAGCCCGGAACGGACGGTGTGCCTATAAAGCCCGTACCTCTTTATTCCATGCATAGTAAAATTACTATGCTGCTGCATCGGAGTGTTGTGTGCGTTGCTGATCTATTGATTGAAAGGGAATGACTTAATCAAATTCATTGCAATATAAAATTGAAATAGGCTGCAGTTTTTTTTTCTGAATTATGAATTGCCTATTTCCTTGACACATGCTGTTGTGAACTGTGAACCATATCGACGGCTAAAGTACGAAACCACGAATCTCCGTTTTCGAGGTAGCAGACTTCGAGTCATACTTTACTTTTTCTTGGGAAAACTATAATCAACGTAATTGCATGATGTATCGCACTTAGCAAAAAGGAACCAGCGCGATTATAGTGTTTTCAAAATCGTGCAACTTCTTTTTTCTTCTAAAAATTACTTGTTTTTGCACAGTACTCAAAATTTTTAGTCTAGAAAATTAAAAACTTTTTGGTGAGAAAACGAAAAAAATTATGCTATTCTGGGAGATTTTATAGATATTATTGAAGAAGCACCATTTTTACAACACTACTATCACGCTGATTCCTTTTGGCTAAATACGATCCAACTCTTCCTTGACTTCAATGTTCTTTTGGTTTTTCTGCCCTATTAGCAGAATATTCCCTGTAAATTTTAAGCCATTCAGTTGGTTTGTTTCTCCTCGAAAAAATGAACTAGGAGCAGAAATTTTGGAACGCCGGCGCCGCAATTAGGATACGAGGTTTCGTACTTCGGCCGGCGAAATGAGGCCTCCCTGAGTTGGAGACCTGTTCAAGGACTGAATGCAAGTGTGGCCTTTATAGTTACGTGATAAAACACTGTTACGGCCCTTGCTTGGCTGGCCTAGGTCAGAAACCTTCATAATGGTTACGCCATTTGAGTTCACTGCGACGAAGCGACGACGTAATCGCAACGAAGGCTATCGGTCATCATGTTGCTTCTTCCAGTTGACAATGAATTGATAATCGTAAACTCAATCGAGGAAAGTTTCATTACTTTCATTCTATCGCCTAGTTTTACTCCGCAGTATCATTAATTTATATTCGAATCATCGCATCACCCACTCGTCGAAAAAGGAGCAAATTTCGTGATGGACAACAGCTAAAGAGAATACTTACTTCAAATTTTAAGGGGACCGAACTGATCCGGAATTATGATGTTAGAATTACTTATTTTGGGAACAATGTAAGTGAATAATTATTGATTTTTCGTTCCCTGATATTTGGCTGCTTTTCCCTGATTTCAATGGGAAAATTCCCTATTGATAGCCCTGGATCTTTACTCATGTTTCTCGATTCTCTAGGAAAACAAACAATTTTTCTCCAAAGTTGGAGAGAGAGGGGGGGGAAGAGGACCAACTTTTTCATCTTTGATCCCCTCAACAAAGTCAGTGCAGACCACCAAATTTAAAACTAATTTGATCTCGGAGTAGAGAAAAAAACAATTCCGAGGTTTTTGACACCGATCCCCGGACAAATCCCTGCACGGTTTTTCCAATTTTCCCAGATCTTATTGTCAGTCACCGTGCTCGAAGGATGTGATCTGATTTATTTGAGCACTTTAATCCAAATGTGTATGAAATTTATCCTAGTATAGCAACTCTCTGATAGCAGTCCTCTCTACTGACTGGTAATTGGATCGCACTTAGCAAAGAGGAGCCAGCGCGATTAGTGTTTTCATAATCGTGCAACTTCTCTTTCAAAAATACTTAATACATGCACAGTATTAAAATTTGCACTATTATTTTCTTTTAAATTAACACTTTTCTGTGGGAAGCAAAAACTATTTGCTATTTTGAGATATTTTGTGGTTAGTTGTAAAGGAGCAGCATTCTTACAACACTGTTATCGCGCTGGTTCCTTTTTGCTATATGCGATCCAATTGTTATAATGTCACTATTCATTTTATCAGCATACACTAATCAAACACTCACCTGGGTTTCGTATTCAGTTTTGAACTTGATCCTGTACTTGGAGCATCGAGGTGGGAAATTCAAACAAAACCCGTATTCTCGCACTTGATAAGGTTTGTGTTTCGATACTCGAACGGTCGTTGTATATCTGCAATCAATCAATAAACAAATTCAAGGTAAAAAGCAAACGTAGTAACAATGGCTGCTATAATTGCTTCATCTCCAAATACCCCGACTTTTCGCTAACTATTTTTGCTTTTTCCTGACTCCATGATTTCTGGCTCCCTGATTTTCCCTGACCTTCGATCAACATTTCCATTTTTTTTTTTAAATACGCCGACTTTCGCTGAACTTTGGACAAAATTTCCTTTTTTAGAAATTAACTTATGGAAAAAGACATGTAGTAGCTGATCAAAAGAAGACGAGCCTTAAAAATGATCAGAAACGGTAAGCAGTTGGCTGATCAGGGATATGCTTAAAAGATTAGTACACGCGTCAGAAATTCCCTGACTTTTCCCACGAATTCCCCGGCTCACAACTTTACAACCAGTTTGGCAAGCTTCTCGGTCAGGCATTGTTCTTTCTCCGCACTGTGCTGTTCAAAGTGTACCTAAACAACGTCCAACAGCTGAGCCAAAGCGTCGTGAATATCTTTGTTTTGTCAAAAGTTACTTTCAGTAATTTTGGTGTCGCAAATCGTGCTCAACGTGAAATTCTGATGAGAAAACTAATATCATAATGCTTGAATTCGCACTTCGTCTATGATATGGCCCATTCGAATCAAAGGAGAATAAGGAAACTTTAAGGAACGATTCTGCCGTGCTGAGGAAAAAATTCTTAGGAGACTTTGCACGTTGCCAAATTTCCTCTGAAAAATGTTTATTATTGAGAGAAGTTGCGCATAATTTTCCTTGGAATTTTCAAATATTTTAGATTAAAATGCGAAAAAAATTGTCGGAAAAAAAATACCCGAGAAACATGTTTACAACTCTCCCGATAAATCCATATTTTGTCAAAGGAAATTTGGCAACGGCTGAAGACTTATCGTTCTTCCTAGGCACGGCAGCATGAGAGAAAGCCCAAACCCGAATCCGAAAAATTAAGATCAATAAAAGTAAAAAGACGAAAGAAAACTCACGATTCTTGTCGTGTGCAGACGTTGGGTCCTTCGAGGCTGCTGTTGCTGAAAAGGTTCGCCTCGGTGAAGACCCCGAGAGACAACAACGCGAAGAGGCATCGGAGACTAGTTCTAAAAACACGGGACATTTTCTTGAAATAATCGACTACTATCACAGGACAAAACGATTAAACTTAAAAACGGAGCGGAAGCACTCCCATTTTCTATCAGCAGAAATCCGCGAAAACCGATCGAAACGAACGGTTGCCCATTTTCCCGCAGGTTTTTCTTTTTTTCGGGGGGGGGGGGGTGTTCGAAAGTCTTCTTAGTTGCCTTGGCTCAGGTCTGACGGAGGCGAAAGCTTAATTCATGAACACTGATTTGTCGGTCAAGCGCCGAGAGGAGGTGCTTTGTTAGCTGACCACCTGAAACAGAAAAAAAAAAACCATCGGTTAAGCACTGAGTGACTAAATACCTATAAAAACGAAAGAGCTTTCAATGCTTTCAAAATGATTTTGGAACTGATTATAAGACATACAGCTAACTTGGCTCATTGAGCATTCTTAGATGAAGAAAAGAAAAATTGTCATGCAGATTCTCCCTTTGCGAGCATTTACACGCAAATGCGCCCGAGAACATAGGGTAAGTATCTAGTTTTTTTCTCATTTTGGGAAATCCTGATTTATGACTGCAAAATCCCGATTTCAGAATTTTTCCAAATCCTGATTTTTTGCGGAGAAAAATTAATATCACAAAAATAGCTCGAATAAAAAATCATGAGGCGTTCACTTCGAAAACCTTCGATATAAATAAAGTTATTAATAAAATGTAAGTGTTTTTTTAAAACATTTTTTGCGTTATTTCTAGCACTCGGCTACCAACCCGAACTCATATAAAAAATCCGATCGGACAGCCGACTTTCCTAAAATCCTGATTTTACGACCGTTTTTCCCCCAAATCCTGATGAAATAGGGGTTAAATCCTGATGGACCTTGGGAAAGTCCTGATGCTAGACACCCTGGAGAATGTCAACATCAATCCAGCATTGACGATTTGAAATTCCAACTTTAAAAATTCAGATATTCATTGCGGAAGTTTTTAAAAAATTTCACGAAATTTCTTCAGGGGATAAAATTTTAAAATTATCGTTAAATTTGGCATCTCTGCCCATGCTGCCGTGATAAGGAAGAGCGCCGTATGCACATTCAAGAGTTGCCAAATTTCCTTTAATAAAACATGTAATTTTGAAAAAAGAGCATGCATTTTTTCCCCTTAAACTTTTCAGATATTTCAGATTAAATTAGGAACAAAATTGCCTGAAAAATTGGAGGAAAAATATTCAGAATCGTCCCACTAATTCTTTTGTTATTGAACGAAATGTGGAAACACTTGGTGCTCATGTGGCGTTCTTCTTTAGCACGGCAGTATGAGGCGTGGATGCTGCGGATGTCGCAAGAAAGCAGAAATTACAGGGTGTTCCGAAAGTCCTGCTCTCCCCTCTAACTTTTGAATCGTTCAAGACAAAAAACCAAAACTTTGGGGACGTTTCTGTCTCCTCCCTAGAGAACCCTCATGATAGGAAAGCTCCCCTAGGAGATAGAAACTTTCCCAAATTTTCGTTTTTTCATCTCGAACGGCCGGGGTGTCTACCGGTTTAAAAAAACCAAAATTGGGGACTTTTAGGGGTGTTTTGTCAAGAAAATTGGGGAATTTTTACCCCGAAATAGTAAGAGAAAAGATGCTAGTTAGAGCGTTAAAAGGCGTATTTTATACGACTAATTTTACAAGTAATGTTGGACCGATGAAAACATGAAAACCCAAGCAACACTTCAGTTTTTTTATTCCTGGATACACCGCGCCACCGCGGCTGGCGGGGAAATTTGAAAATGCCGGTGTCTAGGACGATTGTTGTCATTTTTTAGGGACCTATATATATCGAATTTATTGTCAAGAAAGAAATCAGTACAAAGAAAGAACATGACTTTTTAGAATACACTTAAGAATTATTATAACAACTACCTCTGTTTAAAAGGTATCCATTTGAATTTGTAGATTAAGATTTTCTACAGAAAGTTTTAGATAGGGAGGAATTTTAGGCTGTACAATTTAATAAATTGCACATGAAAATAACTAGGGAAAAAATCCAATGGGAAAAAACCTAGTTTAGATGAAGGAGGTGGGATAAAACAAAACCCAGACTGCTGAAAGAGCAAAATAACAAGAATAATAAGAAAATAAAAATAAATATAAAAATAACAAAAATAAGTAAATATTAAAAATTTACAACTAGATAACAAGGGAAAGGGTGAAGACTTCAGTACGTGAGCGCCCAGCTCTCCATTTTAAGTATGGAGAGGCGAGGCTGGGCGTACTCACGCCTGTGCCTGTAAAGAAAGAATTAATTCTATTATAAATCAGTTCACAGATAGTGAATCAGATTGTAGGGAAGGTTGGACTGATTGTGGGATCTGTACCTCTTGTTGAGGTAAGAGCTTGAGGATAACAGACATCAGTTTGTCAATCTGCTCTGCTTGTTTAGTTACTAGGTGTTTAAGCTCGTTGATTACTGTGACATAATCAACGCTGTTATCAGTTGTCGTGAGCGATACAACTGGCTGAGGAGTTTTGTTTTCGGAAGAGCTCGGTCCTTTCAAGGCAGAACTGTAGCTCTTATCTGATGATCTAATGTTAGAATTAAGATTTCCTTGATTAAGCTCGCTCTTGACTGGAAATCTCTTTTTACTCACTTCCTTTTTGACTTTGCACCCTTGATAGGTTGCCAAGTGGTTACCTTTGCAAAGGGCGCAAACGGGGAAGATACACGTAGGTACATCAGGGGTTTTACATTCCCCTGTTTGATGAAATTCAGAACAGATAGCACACCTGGGTTGACGAAAACAGTAAGATTTAGAATGTCCTAATGAGAGGCAGTTTTTACACTGTATGACAGATTTTCTATGATGAGGTTTTTCGAACTTTACAATTAAATTGGAGATTTCCTTAACCTGCCAAATCATTTCGTTAGAGCCTGGAAAAGGAAGTAAGTCTACATAATGCAATGGAAGAGGAGATTTATCTGTAAATTTGAGCATGCGAGTCACATTTTTGACGGGTATCTTGTATTTCTCCTCAAGACAGGAACGTATCGTTTCCTCAGCTTGAGAAAAATCCGTAGGGATACCCCTGCATACAACTCTAGTAAATTTTTCTTCTTTAATTTGGTAGGTGAAGTATGCTATTTTTTTTGTCCTTGAGGACCTTAGTGAGAGAACGATATTCATCGATTTTTTCTAAAATTATTTTAAACTGGGTTCTATTAATGATTTTGAGTTTTGAATTTTTAGATATTTTATCTACTACTTCTGCTTTAAAGGTGAAAGGGTTTGGAATTTGAGAAATGAAAATGGGAGGGGGGGTTAACAATGGTTCTACTGACTTATCGGATTGAAGAATATTAAATTTAGAACTTAAATTAAGCGCAGGTACTGGTGGCCTATTTGCAGGGATAGCCTTCTTGGACGGGGCCTTAGATGGAGAGTTGGTTAAGGACGAGTGAGATTTCCTTCTCTTGTGGCGGGTGACAACCTGGAAGCTGTCGTTATCTGTTTTAACACCTTGAAACTCCGAAGACTGGGTATCTGAAATGATGGGTTGTAAATCCATGGATTCTACTTCTGGATCAGTTGACCCTTCGTCAGAGTCAGAATCAGTGAAAGCTTCGGGTGCATCGAGGTCATCAGGGCTATAGGGCAAGCCTTTGCACATAGAGCACTTGAAGGGGTATTTTTTGTGTATACACTTGCAGTCAATAGCTGCCTTAACACTGCATTTTTTGCAGAGATGAGCCGACTGTTTGTGCTCACATTGTAATAGTGTGACACTTTTTTGGGAGGCCACTTTTTTCACACTTTTCTGAGAGGGAAGAGGTCCTGCAGCGCGAACATTGATAGTTTGTTTACCCTTTTTGCTATCTCCTAAGGGTGGAAAAGCACTTGAGGGGGGAGGGAACACTGGAAGGTTAGTGCAAGTACCGCACTGCTGAAATAAAATTCTGTGCGAGCACCAGAATTTTTTGGTGAAAAGGTTAGATCTTTTAATGTCACAAAGATTGCAAAGATGAGCAATTTGCTCATGAGCACACTTCACAAAGTTTATTCCCGGAGAATTGGGATCCATTTCACACAAGGAAAAAACTCAGAAACACGGCATGAAAGAGACTTGACAGCGCGTCGATGTAGCACGGCTCACGGAGCCCACGTCCTCACTCGACCGCGTTGATAAGCAGACTCCTAGGGACCTGAAGAAGATAATCGGGGACTTTCGGGGATATGGGGACACCCTTTCAAAATCGGGGATAATCGGGGACATTGGGGACTTTCGGGGACCGGTAGACACCCTGACGGTTCAAAAATTAGAGGGGGAGGAGTGAGACTTTTGGAGAACCCTGTATAATCAACAACGCGGAGCTTTCGAGTGGACGACGAAAGATTCGAGAATCCCAAGACGAGAGAAAAACGAAGTGCGCAATAATCTCTAGCGAGAAGCGCAGGGCAGAGCCTTCGCCTCATCTTGGACGTGGACACGGACTGCTCTGCCGTGCTAAGGAAGAACGCCGTATGAACATTCGAGAGTTGCCAAATTTCCTTGGATCAAACGTTTACTCTTGAGGAAATTTGTGAATATTTTTCATTGCAATTTTCAGGAACTTGGGATCAGAATACGAACAAAATTCTCGAAATATTCTCGGAAAAATATTCATAAGTTTACCAGGGAATTCGAGTTGTATCAAAGACGGTTCGGCAACGCCTGAAGGTTCTTACGGCGTTTTCCCTCAGCACGGCAGTGTTCGTGGTGCTGATCGACGACACAACGCTCATCACCGATCAGGAGATCTGCGGGCCGATTATTGAAATTGATAGACAAAGCTATAGACAGAGGAGACAAAAGAGATATGGAGAGATCCTATTGGTGGAGGCGGGTGGTTGCAATGGACAAAGGAGGTAGGTAATAGACTAACTAACGGCAACCCACGAGAGACCCGACAGTTAGTCTATCATTTTCTCCCTTTGTCTACAGGAACCACTCATTTCAACCAATAGGATCGCTCCATACTCCCTATGTCTTCTTTGTCTATAGCTTTGTCCATCAATTTCAATAATCAGTCCGCAGATCCTTTTATGCCTTACGCGAAATGAAAACTCTCCCAGCCGCAGTATTATGTGTAATTGGACCAAAGACATAAAGACGGAGGGCTAAAAGCAAAAAATGAAGCTTCTTTTCAATCACCTCTACTATTGGCTAGAGGATTAGCGGCGAAATCGGGACGAGTTTGAAATTCAAATGTAGGGCGGGAACTAAATAAAATTGCGGAAACAAAGTATTCTAGGTTGATTTTTGCCCAAATTCACTTACACACTCATATGTTTATAACTTAAGGTTAGTTTT